GACATCATTGAAGAGGATTACAACCAAAGAAACAGCACAGAGACTATGCTACCAAGTCCACCTAAAACCAAAGCTAATGCAACATATCCAAAAGATACCTTAGGACTAATGTACAGTAAAAAATCATTTCTCCATAATCCACTAAATAAAATCAGTAAAAGCAACTACTCCATTAGATGCACATATATCAATGTAAGGACACAAGAAACCTGAACAAATAAGGCAACATAACACACCCAAAGTAACACAATAAGTCTCTAGTAACAGATGCCAAGGAAAAGGACAGTTACAAAATTCCTGTAAAGGAATTTCAAATAACAATCTTAAGGAAACTCAATGAGATACAAGAAGATAAAAACAATCAGTTCAGTGAAATCAAGAAAAAAATTCAGGAGGTGAATGAAAAATTTAATAAAAATTATATATATATATTATATATATATATATATATAAAATTAAAAGATGACATGACTTTTCCCGTGAACTTTTTGAAGTACTCTCATATTAATCAAATGTAACAATGGATATAAAAAAAAAAAATACCTAGAAATTTAAAAGCTCAGTACAAAAAACAGCAGAATGTTGATCATTTTTAAAGTTGGGCTACATATACATGAGGGATCGCTATATTATCCTGTCTTATTTTGTCTCTAAGTTTGAAATTTTCCATAACAAAAAAGTTTTAAAAGTATCCACTTAAAACAAAACAAAACAAAAAAACACAAGGGTCTGGCCGGTTAGCTAAAACCAAGGTCACGAGTTCAGACCCCACGTACGTGCCAGCTGCCAAAAAAAAATCTGTACAACCCTTCAATAACTCCTCTTCTTATTCTTATATACCCTGATCTCATTTTTACTTTTTCTGGCCTCATCTCCCATTTTACCCTGTTATTCTACAACCATAGTGGACGATCTTTTGTTACTCTTTCATTTACAAACTTGTTGGGATTGATTGGTTGATTGATTGATTGATTGACTCTTCCCCCATGTTCCCCTCTATCTTTCTGCAAAGCTCAGTTTACGTTTTGGCGGCTGGCCGGTATGAGGATCCGCACCCTTGACCTTGGTTTATCAGCACCATGCTCTATGCAAAGCTGAGTTTAAATGTGACTTCTGTGAAGTCTATCACAGTTCCAGCCTAGCAAAAAACTAAGCACATAGAAGGTGGCGACAATTGCTTACCAAAGTCAGTGAAAAGACTTGAGAGGTTGGCTTGTCTCTCAAGAAGCACTTGAGAAGTTAGAGCTGAGACTAGAATCTACGCCTTCTGAATCCACATCTAATTGTCTGTCCATTTCCCTACATTACTTGACGGTAACATGAAAGAATGGTAGACAGTGTTTGCTACTCACACACCAAATGCAAATCAGTGTTCTCTTTTGCTCCATTCGGTGCGTGGAAGGAAAAGGAGGAAAAAGAGATAAGGAAGGGAACAAATATTTTTTAAATGATGCAAAAGGGAAGTTGCGGGTTTCCTCAATTCCGTAATGGGATCTTTCTACCCAAGAAGTAATGATCAGAGAACAACTCTCCGCCTCAAACACAGAAATGACAACTCACTCATTCGTACATTCATTCAGCACTCTGAGTGCTTACTATGTTCCAGGCCCTGTACGCACAGCTGGAGACACCGGGATGAACTAAATACAGTCCCTGTCCACGAGAAGCTCCTCGCCTAGCGGAACCACTAACAGCGATAACTTTAATCGTGTTCAGATGTCTGGAGGAAAGGAGCCCCGGTAGCCAAGTTTTACAAGCCAGGTTCACAGACCAGCTCCCAGCCCCGCTCCAACACGTTCAGGTAGCAGCTCCCAATCCTCAGCGGGCCGGACTCTCTCCCGGCTGCGTGCGGGTACACTCACCACGTACAAGAAGCGGAACCTGAACTTCAGTCTCCCCTCCCGCTCCTCCCTTCCCTGGCTTTCGTCATCCACGAGCGCCGGGACACGCGGAAAACGCTGATAACGGCACTTCCTCGTCACGTGAGGGGTTATGCCTCTCCCTGCGCATGGTCCCTCCCCCTCAGTCCGCCGTCGCAATTACGCTCTCTAAGGCCTGCATTCGGCGGGCCATCGCGGGCTGAAAACACTGCGCCGACTGGAACCGGAGGAGCTCTAGGCCAAATGGGTGGGCCAGCCAGAACCCCGGGACCCTTCACTGCTCGAGGCCGGAGAGAGGGAACGAAACAGGCGGGAACCGGTTGGGGAGGGAGGGTTCATAGCGGAAGGTGTCATGGCGGCCGCGCTCTGGGGTCACGTGCCCCCGCAGGCCCGCCTTGGTAGTTCCGGTCACGTGCCCTCAGACTCCTCGCAGCCAGCGATGGAGGCGAGACCCCTCAGTAACAGAGGCGGTGGCGACGGCTGCAGCCACTGGGTTTCCGCCTTTTCCCAGCGGCGGCTTTAAGAAGCGCAGCGGAAGTCGACCCAACACAGCCCAGTCACTTAATCCGTACCCAGAACTGTAGCTTCCACCTGGTAAGTTTAGACCGAAGAATGGGGGTGGGTGGGTGAGGAGCTGACAGGCCCGGGGGCCGCAGGACTGCGCGGATTCTGACCCTTTTTTCAGCGTTAGTGTCGCCACAATGCCCAATCCTCCCGTTTCGTTTGCCTTTATTACGCCGAAGCGGGGAAGAGGCGACCCCTAATTTCCTTGTCTAAAGGATGCCTGCTCTTTCACTGAGAGCAGGGACTTGAAGTTTTATCCAAAGCCAGGATCAGACTTGGCTCATGAGAGTGAAGTGGGGGCCTCTCCTGAGCAGAAAAGCTCTTCCCCTTAGGAAATATGCTGTTCGGTCTTTCAGTTTCTGTAAGCAAAAAGCTTTCACCTCGGTGTCCACGTACCTTTTGCTTCCACCTGTCATCCCTGCCGCTCTTAAAAACCTTTTTCACACATGTGCCAATCCACACCCACCCCCAACCCCAGTTTTGGTCATGCCTGGTTTGATTGTTATGTAATGATGAAAAATAGATCAATACATGGAAATATATAATTATTTTTTACATTCTCTAATGTGCTCAGAAGCTAAATTGACTGAAGAGGTGTATCCGATCGATTCTTAAGCTTCCGTTTGAGCTCTTTAAAGTGGGAGTGGGAGAAGATATAAAAACTTACCTTTAGTCCATTCGAAGACACAGTTTAAGAAACATAAATTGAGTGGTTTGAAATATACTTTGCATTAAGTATTGGCTCTTACAAACCAATATTCTCATTATTTAAACTTGAGATTTTCGAAAGTTTTAAAGGAGTGAAACAGTTTCTCCCCATGAATTCTTACCTGGAACACAAATATATATAGCAGCATGCTGTGGTGGAACTGAGTTTAGGAGAGCTAGGCCCCGTGGGCTCAGCCTCCCCTCTACCCTAGAGGCATCTCCAGTTGGCAAACCACTGATCTGGACTTTGGTGATTAAGTCAAACTTGCCAACCCTAAGATTTTTAAAATTCAAAACAGAGCAGTTGAGATGGAAAGGTCACAACAGAATGGAAGATAACCTCTAGTAGCAGGCCTATGAGTTACAGGAGGACTAGACTCCATAGAGAACTGTGTACCTATTAGCAGGCCTAAATCCCTGAGATGGTCTGCTACCCCCACTCAGCCAACCTTTTAACAGTGTAGCAGCTTGATAGGTTTGAGTCTATCCTAAGTGATATTAAATACACATTGTAGTGCAAATGCAAAGAAATAATCCAAGCAGATGCAGACAGGGCTTTTTAAAAATACCATGAAGATTGGTGCAGTCAAAGGGAGAAGAATCAGTTAAAAGTAGTGAAGCAAATGATCAGCTCTGGTCAGTTGTGAATGCTTCCTGTGTGTACGGTCCTCAAGGCTCATCTTTTCCCTGCTGAAACCTGTATATCTTTCCATCTTACATCTTACTTCTCTGTGCTATTTTTTTTTCTTACCATCAGAATGTTGTCTAGTGTACCATGAGCATTTTGGCCACCATTTCTACCTTATGGATACTGCTGCCAGAAGTGTCTTTGTGCCCTTCCTCCTTTCTCTCCTTCCTGCCTTCAGTGTGGCAGTGTCAGGCATTGATCTCATAGTCCCTCTTTCCCCCACTTTGATTACCAACTGATTACACTTCTCTCAATCTTGTTAATGTACTCTTGACAGCATGCAGTATTTATTAGTGGATATGAACACATTTCCTTCTATCATGCATCTCTGTGTCGTGTTTTCTTCCTTCTCTCTCTCCCTGAACTACTGTAAAATGAAAAGTGAAAAAGTGCTCAGTCTTAAAATTGCCACATCAGTTACTCTTTGATATCTTCCTTGTCTGTGAAACTATCTTAAGGATAGTACATTTTGGTCATTCTTTACATATTTCCAGGGTCTTATTTCCTGTAATGCTGAATTGTTAAAATGTTTTGGATTGCCTGATGGCACACAACATTCCAAATTGCCATTTTTTATGTCGGCATATACAACAGCTTTATAGCTTTATCTATAGTAATCCTCCTTTTAGAGAGTGATAAGGAATATATATTTCACTGGTTGTCTTTTTTCCCCCTACTTATCTCTGCGTGTTGGAAAAGGGTGTAGATAATAGAAATGCAGAGATGAAGTAATTTAAAAATATCTACTCAACTGTTTCAAATTCTTCCTACCACTGTTTTTTTCATAAGAGCAAATCCAGTTATTGGTATCTTTGTGAGAAATGAAACACTGATCTGTGAATTGAGAGCTATAGTGCTTCTTGGAATTTAGCTGAGGATATATGTGCAAAGGTTTCTTGTGTCTTACCAAGATTGTGTTAATAACAAAGATCTTAAATGAAGTTACAGATATTCGTTGGATTCTTCCTATGGTGCAAAATACTATGCTGCTGGATGCTATATTCAGTGAACACACACGTGTGGCTTCTGGCCCCCCCATTAAGCTTGCAGTCTGTAGGAGACATACATTAAAAGAATTAAATAAAAAAATAATTACAGTTGTGGTGAATGCTATGAAGGGAATAATAGGAGACCTTAGGTTGTAGCTTTGAAGCTTAGAGTAGGATGAAAAAAAAAAATAAGTGAAAGCCAATTGATGGGAAGGGAGGAGAATGTGCAGAGGTTCAGAGCAAGGTGTATACATTTAGTTTCAGACAAACAAATTTTTAACTGCAAATGAATTAATGCCTTTACTAGAGGATCTTGCTATTTAAAGAAGTCATGTGACAGATTATTTGATAAAGTAAATAATCTTTCAAGTAATGTTAAATCTTATACAGTTCTACTGGAAGGAAGTGTTTGCTACCCAGGAATCCCCTTCAAGAAAAATCTGGAAGTCACAGAAGCCATTGTAGGATAGCCCAATGGTCTGTTAAACTTTCTAAAATTGGTCCTTGTAAAATTAATACAGGTGCTACAGATGACCAGGGAAATTTTGCCAAGCAAATTAGCTATGAAGCAATTGACCAGTTGGGCCCAATATTAAATAATTTATTTCTGATTTATTTTTGAAGTTCCTCAAAATGAATTTTAATATGAATGGTTTTACACATTAAGTATAGGAAGTTATGTTTTTCCCAATTGACTTAAAGTAGCTGATTCAAAGTCAGTTTTTATCAATCTAGTATATTCTCCACTCTACACTTTCTTTGTCTTCACCCATGTTTTCTTCTTTATCTTTCCAACTCAGAAAAGTTTTTCTGTTCTTTTCCAAAGCTAACACTTTTCATTTGTGCCTGTAAGCCCAGTTAATTGGGGGCTTGTGCTATCAGCTTTTCTTGCTCACTGCTTTTCTTCCAACTGTTGGCATACTGAAAATTATACCACAATTATCTGCTAACTTCTCCCTCCAAACTTTCCCTCCCATCTTTCTCAGATTTTACTTCGTGTTTCTTAAAATGTGATTTGTATGGTATACAGTACAGTTTTACATTCTAGAGATAGGATGGGCTTCTTAAAATTTAATAGTTGTATTATAATGAGTGTTTTTAGAAAGTTAATTTTAAAGTATTTAACAGTTCATAGATGTTATAAAACTTCGTTTTATAATTTTTTTAAAAAAAATAAGTTGATTCACACATATTACAGAAATCGAAAATAGGAAACACTTAATTCTTATCCATAATACTGCCTCTTATAGTTTACCGTGTTACCTTATAAACATTTGGTTTGATAGGGAATAAACTATTGGGAAGATAGTTTTAGTAACTACTTTTCTCATTACAAAATACATACTTATTGTAGATAGTCCAGAAAACAAAAAGAGCATTCAAATTATCTGAATTTCTATCATCTGTAGGTAATAGCTATTATTTGGTGTTTCTCCTTCCAGTCAGATATATTTGCAAAAGAGCATAGTGGGCTCTGAAATCAGACTGACCCAGATTCAAACCTAGTTCTGCTGCTTCCTTAATGCTTTGGGAAAGTGTCTTGCTTTCTCAGTCCCAGTTTCCTTATCTGCAGAATGGAACAAATAATAAACCTGCCTCATAGGATTGTTAAATGGGGACTGAATAAGAAAATGCCTATAAAGAATTTAGTCTAGTGCCTGGCACATATTATTAAGCATTCAGTCAATTTTAGATAGACTTTTTAAAATTTTAAAATATGGAATCAAACTACATGCTTTTTTTTTTTTTTGCTTGCTTTGATCACTTAACAATTTATCTTTTCACGTCATTAAATCGTTTCAAAACAGAGGTTTTCAAACTTTTTAAGCAGTTATAACCCTCTATTCAAAATCTTAGGGGGACATCAAATAAGTAAGTCAGTTAAAAGATGGTATCATATATTTTTTTT